CTAAGGGTCTTCGCGGGTAGGTGCCGCAACGCCTGGCGTTGAACGACCTCTTCGTTTTCCTGACCATGTGTATCCTTCACGTTTAACGCCCGCCGGCGACCCAGATTTAAGTGTTCTAGACTAAATCCCCATTCCTCTTCTACGTTTACCGCTCGCCAGGGATCCAGACTTAAGTCCAATTCCCTTTCAGCGTTTACCGCCCGCCGGCGATTCAGACCTAAGTCTAATTGACCAAGTCTGCCTTCCACTTGTTCATTCTGGTTCTGGACTTCCTGTCCGCGTCTTCTCGAGCAACTGCTCTCAGTCGAAGTCGACAATGGTTTCGTAAATTCATACGGGTGAGTCACAGGATGACTGTGAACCCTGTGTACTTCCACGCGTTGCGTTTTCATATAAATAGGCAACGCCTCCTGACTTTGCCATCTCGGCATCGGTACAGGCACAAATCTCATAGTTGGAGGTAACGTTGTGCCTCCCGACACTCTGTCGTTGCCAATCTTGGCGTATAGCATTCTGCATCTATTTGTCTCTTCGAACAAGTTCCATTTTTGTGGCCTTTTCGGAGTTTTAGAATCCCTAATACGCCTCAAAATGTCTAGGTATGCCGGAGTATTATGGCGATTTGGGGATTGTATCCCATGTGATGTTTCGCTTTCTCTAGCTAATCGTCTCACAGGTGTGGCGAAAGTGCCAGGATTTTGTTGCATTGCAACCACGGAGAGGGACTGGCGTCCTCTTGATTAAAACTGAGACGTCTTGCAGAAGACAGCCTCAGACTAGCCGTCCCTGCTGGGGTTCTTGGAATGTTGTGTCCTATGAACACAGATTCCTGTGGGTTTTGCTGCTGCTCTGTAGTAATCGCACTCAGGAGATTAACTCTTTGGAGTCTATCGGGACATACGTGTCCCATCCATGTATTTCGTTCGTATCCAGTTTGCCGGTGAAGTCCATCCAGCCAACACGTGCTTTGCGTTCCACTATTTTCTGAAAAATTTGCAAGTGTATTATTGCCCTAACTGTCTGCTTTCTAAGGTTAGTAATAAGCAATGCACTAGTTTTCAATGATCGTGTACTAATAAAACCTATTGAATTTCATTACTTCAGACTGTGGGACAGACACCTGGGTCCCAGCAGGCATTTTGAACGGGACACATTTGTCCTGGTGGTTCTGTACAACAATGAGTAAAAGGATATTGACCGAAAGAGAACTTGAAGAAGAAGCTGATAGAATTATAGAAGATGACTTGAGTGATGACGATTGTGACCCATTTCATTGTGAAGACTCATCAGATGAAAATTATTGTCCCTCAGAGAGCGATAATAGCGAAGATGATGAAAATCATTGTTCCTCAGAAAGCGACAATAACGAAGATGAAATTATCGCTGATGATATAAATAATGATGATGAAATTAGTCAAGAAGGTAATGAGACAATCGGAAGTGAAAACGTAGTGGCACCAGATGGAGTAGTATTTTGGAGTAGCAGCAGTCAACAATTTTCTCCCAGATTCTGTATACCTGACGAAGCAGCAGCTCCTTCTTGCCTGCCGAGACAAATGAAGGAAGTTGAAATTTTCTTGAAGATTTTTCCTGAAAGCCTACTCATGCAGATTGCTGAATAGATCTAACCGATCAATATGCGGGCTTATACGACTTCGACAGAAGATCAAATAAGTGGTGGAATTCCTAATTACAATAGCAGAAGATTTGATTGCGTTGGGACGAAGTGGGGCAAGTGTGAAGAGAAAATCAGCAACATCTTTAGGGCGACCCAGTTCGAAAAAACGAAAACATCAAAATGTGGGCGATAATTTACCTATTGAGGGCCCCACAAGACGTCGCTGCTGTAGATGCGCACAGATGCAAAAATAAGTAAGAACAAAAACATTGTGTCAAATGTGCAATAAACCTCTGTGCAAAAATTGCTTCACTCCTTACCATCTGCAATAATGTTCTATATGTTGTCCAATATGATTTGAATGGAAATAAATTTTTTTTCGAAACTACTGGGTTTAATATGTCCCACCTAAAATGTCTAATGGGACACATATGTCCCGGCCCTTAGCGTAAAAAGGGCGTAACCTGCATTCATAAAACTAACATTTCTTGATATAGTATCCACATTTACATAAAATGTGACCTCAGATATATCACAAGTATAAGAAAAATTAATCAGACTCCAAAGGGTTAAGGGTGTCTGAATTCATGATTGTTTGGTCGAAGGGTGTGACCTCACGATTTTGCACCGTCGTAACACTTGTGAGTTGCGCTCGCGCTTGTTTTGCCCCAGTCTGCATTGCGTTTTTTTGAAAATTCCCTACTATGGCTCTGGCTTGGAAATAGACAGAGGGTAGAATTCACGGTAAGCTAAAACTATCACTCTTGGATCGCGAAATTAATTTCCTAATCAAGACCTACAGAGTGAACCGAGCTAACAGTTTAGGATCACCTAACTGATGACCCGAACCCTAGAATGGGGGCCGTCCGCAGGATGTGTGGATAAAAGGTATCCTAGTCCTGGTGGGTCCCAACGGTTACGTCGAGTCGATAGCCCAGAGGCTAATCTAATGATGGCTTGACTCCCCCGCTTCAATCTTGTTATACCAGGCCAGTTAACACCGCAAGGTTAGCCTTAGTACCTGAGAGTGGGCAACTTTAGTGGAGACCTACTTTTCCTTGGTAGGATTTGGACTGCTTTTCCTGGCGCGACACAAGGAACCGCAATGCTGAAAAAAATTTCCGGCCAGCAATCCCCCCTGATCTGAGTCCACTTGACCCAGGGGCACCGCTACTCCAAGTCTGCTTCCGTCAAGTCCAGCACTGCGACAGTACACAAAGGAAACCTCTGAAACGCCTTCTGAAAATCCTCCTGTGAATCCCTACGCGAAATTATCTCTAATAAGTCCTGAGAAGGACCAGAGATCGAATTCTTTTGAAAAATCTGACGAAATCTCAAAAAATCCGCAGCAAGTTGAAGTTTCCGAAAAATATCCTTTGAATGTCTTCGATGAAATATCTCTATGTAGTTCTAATAAGAGCCAGAGATTCGAATTCACTTTAAACGACGACGAATTCTTTCAAAGTCGAAGACTAAAGTTCTATCGATGTTTCTCTGAAGAAAACATGATTTCCCTATCTAACTGAATGAAAACGGCATTTCCCTGAAACTCGCCGGTTCCCCCTATATAGAAAATCTAAACAATTGCTAATAAATCTTGCAAGAGATTTTTTCAACACTTAGGAAATGACATTCCAATGCTTAGTTTTCGAAACCAAGTTGAAATAGGTACCTTGTAAAAACAATGTTTTGCATGTTTTTCTAACTGTTACTTTCGAGGGGGCCCTTTGTGCACTGGAGCTCGCGAAATCGGAAAAATAGTTTTGTTTCGCGACAAGATGCTGAATCCCGACCGTAAACTGGGTTGGATGAATCATCACATTCATAGTTCGATATGTAGTTCAAGTTTACACATAGCAATATTGAATTTCTTTGTTGAAAAAATGCAGAAAGATAGTAAGACTTTAAGGTAATTATTGAACAAATTACCTATTGCAATTGAGTCATGAATACAGTAATATTGGAAAACTGAAAAACAACTAAAATTTAAACGAATATTTTATTTTCAATTATACAGAGAAAGAAAAATGATTTCGAAACAAATACTTTTATATGAACACTGAATTATACAGAAGACACTATTCTCTACTCAGTATGTATTCCAAACATTCGTTATGGAATAAAATTAGGTTACATTCATCAACAACAGGAGCCAACCGCACATTTGGCACTCCTTAAACTGCAGTTTGAAGAGTGCCAGAAGATGACAGTACTACCAACTGTCGAAAGCGCTCGCAGATAATAAATAGAAGATATAAAGCTAAACATCCTTTTTGTAGAATTTGATATTGAAATACTCAAAATGAAGGAAAATTAGTTGCATCAATCAAAATATATATATATATAAACACTTGTCGTGGTTTTTGTAAAACCCTTATAGTGAAAATCATACAATATTGATTAGTATTTATGATATGGATTTTCATCAAGTATCGGCCAGTTCTATTCAATTAATAATAATGCAGTATTACTTCTAGGAAAACGGATAATTTATGGATGGGGTGATTCTTGACATTTTACGGAAAAAAATTCAACATCGCGGAGTGATTTCCAAAGATTCGAGCAAGTTTAATTTTTGTTCTTTATTTTCTATATGTAATATGTCGTAGTCCATGTTGAAATCGAAGTTATTTTCTTGAAGGTGACTACTATATGTGGAATTGGTTTTCTTCAGTACACATTTTTTTTGTTTTCTTCGAAAATTCTCTTTTTGAAATTCCTTTCTATATAAACTGTTGGCCAAGATCCACATGGTAATTTTTAGATACGTGATTTATTATGTTTACCCATAGTTGACTTGTTTTTCATATCGCTACCCAAGAAGATACCAGTCTCATATGCTATATACTGTGGGCTAGATACCGTGACGAGAGTTTAATGTCGATGTGGAACTTCATGCATTCAAGGTGAGATGACATGCACCTAGCTGAAGGCCATGTGATGTTGTTACTCATGATCAGAAATAGTAGGGGGAGATCCAGATCCGGAATCAGATCCAGATCCGCTTTTCAAATATTTTCTCAATTCAACCGGAATATCTTTCTCGCAATGCTCATCTATGTTATTTTGGCTCACTGGAATGAAGACCGTTGCTGAATTGTTTTCTAAAATTAAGTTCCACTGAGTTCTGCGACATTCGTTGCGTATGTTTCTAAAACAGTCACACATATTATCATACGATTTTATTGTGAGTTGTAACAGTACCAACATTCATCTTGACTAATCACGTGTATGTCTTGAAATTAAAAAAGTTGATTCATTAACGTCTGTTCAAAAGATTTATTGATGCATCAATTTGGTATGTGATGAGTGATTGTTGTGGTAATTTAACTTTCTGAATGTGGGGGAAATCTGAAACATGAAATTGTATTTTTGTTTTCAGCTCCAATGCCGGTCCAATATAAAAATAAAACGAAGGGTCCCAAACCCAGAGGAGTCTCGAACAGAAATAAAGGTTTGGAGTGGATTCGACAAAATGCTAAAACAGGAGTGTTTTATTTTGCTGATGATGATAACACTTATGACTTGGATTTATTTAATGAAGTGAGTACCTCATTCCAATTGATTTTTAAGTATTTGAAAGTATCAACACCATTTCATTTAAGATAAGGTATACGAAAAAAGTGTCCATGTTTCCTGTTGGATTAGTAACTAAGGCTGGTGTTAGTTCCCCAATTGTGAAAAATGGCGTTTTTGCTGGTTTTTATGATGGATGGATAGGAGGCAGAAAGTTTGCTGTTGATATGGCAGGATTTGCGGTTTCTGTAGATTTCCTTATGAAGCGTCCTCATGCAAAGATGCCTTTCAAAGCTGGTTTTGAAGAAGATGGGTTTTTGAAAAGTCTAGCTCCTTTTGAACCTAAGGAAGCTGAGTTACTAGCGTCAAATTGTACTACAGTGAGTAATCTTTTGTCTACTTCAAGTCCAAAAAAATATTCGATTCACTCATTTATAATTACCACATACAAAGGGAAAGTCACTCGTAGACTCAGTTCCTTTTGTTCCTGCATATAAGTGTAAATTTATATATTTTCATATCTCCCCTGTGTCACTTGTGTGAGAATATTCATTTCATTAGAATCAAAGAATTCTTGATGAATGTCATTTATATTTGATGATCAAGATATAATAAATCAATTTACTGGAGGTGCAACTTTTTTACTTAATTTGCGACTCACTTTATCCACGTTTCGACAGAATCCCAATTAATAATTTTTTTTCCTCCATTCTTCGATTTGAAAATATTGAACAGCGAGAGTATTATTTCCTTAGCAATATGAAGCTATCATTTTTTGGTTGATCGTAATCAGTTGATCACATCGTATTCCAAACATGAGAACATTTGATTGAAAACCGGGAAATGTCTGTAACAAAATAGATATGATTTTGACAAGCATATGGAATATATGTTTTTTTATTTATTTTGGTTGAAAGTTCACATTTCAAACAGTTTGTGAGATACTATTACTGAAAATATTGTAGTTCCTGACGCGAAAAAAAGCCATTCAGGTGCATATGAATGGTCACGATAATATTTTTTATAACTTCATGTGAAAGCTGCTTGATTTATAATCTGGTGCATTCTGATCAAAAGATTAATTGTAGGTACAGTACAAAGTAGTGACCGATAAAGAGAGTGTGGAATATCTGATAAGTGGGAGAATCTGAAACTTGAAACTGGACACGATTTAGAAATTATAAAAAAATGGTTCGAGCACAAACTACTTATAATCAACACAGACAAGACTTACTACTTACCGTTTAGCTGCAGCTCACCTGGACTTCCCGATTTCCAAGAATTGAAAATAGAAAAGAATAGAAAATACCTGTAAAAGAATTAAATACTTGGGAGTCATCATTGACTATCGCTTAAAATGGGATCTTCACATAACATACGTATCAAAGAAACTAAGAACAATTCTATTCAAATTCAGAAAACTCAAAGAAAACATACCTGTGGGCCTGATGAAAATGTTATACCATGCATTAGTAGAAAGCCATGTAGGCTACGGAATTCTAGCATGGGGTGGAGCTCTAAGGACGCACATAAACCAATTAGACCTGACGCAGTTATACTTCTTCATCACAAGTGTTAAATATCATACTTCAAAACACTCCAACCAACTCCCTGCTCATAACTATAACACACGGAATAAAAACTATTACAAACTTCTTTTTATGACCGAAACACAACACAAAGATCGTTTTCTTACCTTACCAGGGGGTTTTAACCCCCTGTATATTACTCGATAAATTGAAAGATGGTAAAAAATGCTTCAAGATGATATACATGTCTCTATACCTAAATCATCAAGTTTTCTTAATAAAGCCGTTTTTGTGGAAAAATAGTTATTCACGTTTTACCTACAAGTGTTGAAAGTGGCATTTTANTATTGGGTCCTAATTTCCCTTCATTTTCCGTATTTTGATATCAATATAAGTCACAAAAAGGATTTGAAGCTTTATAACTCCTATTTAATTATATGCGAGCGCTTTCGAGAGATGGTTGTGCTGTCATCATCTAGGCTGTACTTAAACTGAACATGTCAACCTGTTGTTTATCCTTTTATGCGGTCTGAATGCCTCAGTGCAGGTACTCCAGGTACTTTAGGTAAATTTGCCTGTATTTGGGTTTGTATGGAAACACACGTCATACAAAACAAACATAATTTCCCCACACCAGCAGAGTTGGGGTCGGATACAGGAAAAAAGGATCCGGATACGGATACTTTCAATGTATCCGGATACTTTTTAAAATTTTACGGATACTTTCACCTAAAATGTACTCGGATACAAGTATTCGGATACTTTTTTCGGATACTTTTACGGATACTTTTAGATTTAGTTAAAATAGTGTTTTGATGTATACCTACAAGTAAAAATACTAGGGATGAATATCAAAAACAAAAAGTGATAAAAAAGATAGGAAAAAATAACTCAAAAAACTTTATATTTATTTTGTAAACAAAGAACATGTAAATGACATTTATATCTATAATAGTACCTTTGAGTTTGAATTTGCCTTCGTCAGTACCAATACCTCAAAGTGTTCATCACTTAAATTTTTTCTCTTTGGCGTATCAATAATAGTTGCAAAGAGAAAAGTCTTTCTACTGGTGCTGACGAAGGTAAGCATGTATTATACTTGTGAATTCGTTCTTTTGTCTTCCAGATATCTTAATAATTCCAGCTGAATTTTTGTAGTTTTATTGTTACTTTCACTGGTACCCTCAGTACCCTGTTCGTTCATAGTACTACTACTGCCTACAGTGCCTACTGCTTGGTTATCTTGGGAATCCGTGAAATCGAAAAAGTCGTCCACATTTTGATTCCCGCTTTCATCTGATTCGTTGTAAGAATAATATTCCATCTGTTTTTTTGCAACATTTATTATATATTTTTCAATATCTTCCACAGATTTTTTTGGATGTTTCACAATGTTATACCACTTTAGTTTAAATTTGGGAAGCAGAACTGCTGCTATAATTGGATCTTCTCATTCCAAATTTAAAATTTCATCAAAACGAGTATTTGAACTTTTTATGCACATTTTTGCTAAATGTTCTCCTCCATATTTCAATTCATTTTGGGTTTGAGCAATGTTAATTAAAGAAATTAAACTGGGCAACAAGTATCCAAGAGATACATTGTCTTCACATTGTTACAAATCTAACGTTGAAGCCAAAGGTTTCATTACTAAGCAGTATTATTCCAGATACAATAGTTCAGTTTCCTTAAAAGGTTCTAAAGATAAACTTTGTAGCAGAATTGGAAGTTTATCTTTTACTTGCAAAATCTGCGCAACTGTATCATAAACGGGTTCCATCTGGTTGCCCCTGGAGAACTCAGTGTATGCCCTAAATGTTTAATTGAAATTTCATTGCTTTTTGGTTCATTGGATTTTTCCATAACTGAGCACATTTACTAAATACATTCTTTTCTCTTGTACGTATGGCTGGAATTGATCTAACAGTATTTTTATAATCAGTGGTGCCCTTTAAATTCAAAGTATGTGTGGCACATCGCAAGTGTTTCGGTAGTTCTATATCGTCTTCCGACTCTTCGTTGTTTTTTTTTTCATCAATATCTAAATGTAAAATTTGAAATTCACATTCAACGAAATTTATTTTTTGTTGAGGAAAANGTCAGACGTGCAACAATTCGGGAACCGCGACGCTCCTGCGCGTAACTCGTCCCAACTTCCTACAAGACCACTAAGGGTCTTCGCGGGTAGGTGCCGCAACGCCTGGCGTTGAACGACCTCTTCGTTTTCCTGACCATGTGTATCCTTCACGTTTAACGCCCGCCGGCGACCCAGATTTAAGTCTTCTAGACTAAATCCCCATTCCTCTTCTACGTTTACCGCCCGCCAGGGATCCAGACCTAAGTCCAATTCCCTTTCAGCGTTTACCGCCCGCCGGCGATCCAGACCTAAGTCTAATCGACCAAGTCTGCCTTCCACTTGTTCATTCTGGTTCCGGACTTCCTATCCGCGTCTTCTCAAGCAACTGCTCTCAGTCGAAGTCGACAATGGTTTCGTAAATTCATACGGGCGAGTCACAGGATGACTGTGCACCCTGTGTACTTCCACGCGTTGCGTTTTCATATAAATAGGCAACGCCTCCTGACTTTGACATCTCGGCATCGGTACAGGCACAAATCTCATAGTTGGAGGTAACGTTGTGCCTCCCGACACTCTGTCGTTGCCAATCTTGGCGTATAGCATTCTGCATCTATTTGTCTCTCAGTGCCAAACTCTAACTGAGGTGCACTTCGAGTCCTAATTTCAGCCTCTTGTAGGTGGCGTCCAGTATTTAAACTGGGTATCACCTGTATGCCTTCCTCTTCGTTCTCTTTCCTCTTCGTTCTCTTCGAACAAGTTCCATTTTTGTGGCGTTGTGTTTTGAAAATTCCCTACTATGGCTTTGACTTGGAAATAGACATAGGGTAGAATTCACGGTAAGCTAAAACTTTAGGATCACTCTTGGATCGCGAAATTAATTTCCTAACCAAGACCTACAGAGTGAACCGAGCTAACAGTTTAGGATCACGGAACCTAACTGATGAACCGTACCCTAGAATGAGGGCCGTCCGCAGGATGTGTGGATAAAAGGTATCGTAGTCCTGGAGGGTCCCAACGGTTACGTCGAGTCGATAGCCCAGAGGCTAATCTAATATATATATTATCAACTCATTTATTCATTTCATTCGTTTATTCATCTATGTACTGTGGATATATTTATGTACTGCATATTCATTTATGTATTGTGTATTCATTCATGTTATTACTTCGTGCTAGGCGATATCACGCACAAGAAACCCTGTTACTTGTTTACCCTGCTACTTTATGTTATTTATGTTGCGATCATTATGGTAAATAAACTTATCATTTTTATTATTACTACCTTGAACAACACTTCATTTTCAAAAGTGAATTTCTATTCTTCCATATTGTAAGCAACAGAATAGGTTTCATTCTGTAAGTTCTATTCTGTAATCTGTAGTCATATACTAACTGTAATGAACTATAGTACAATTCTATAATAGTATGCACTAAATTCACAGAAATATTGTTGCATTAAAACGAAAACATTTTTGTCAGGTTGTGATTCTCTATATTTTCTCTATATATTTCAAGAGACAGATCGACGTAAAAATGTCAGTCATTTTCAAGAATTTAGTGCCTACTATTTTGGAATTACAGTATATATAGGTTTCAAAAACTCAAGTCTAACGTAAATTGCAGGTTTCTGATTTCCAAAAAAATATCGAATTGGGCTTGATTTTTTATCGCGAAATTGGCAACTACTTATAAAAATTCTAAAGTTCGTTAAATCTTGATAATTTCTATTACAATTGATGTATATGAAGTCATTACAGAAAACTGATAGCACTAGTTCTATGGAAGTACTGTATATGTCCTCTATGAAGTCCTCGCAACTTCTAAGTAGATTTGTTGAATGATATGCGAAAAGTACCGTGACACCAAAGACAAGAATCAAATAGCTCTCTACAAAAAAAATTTCTATCAACTGTGTGAAGGAACCAACGTGAAAATCACCGAAGTGATGGCTATCTGTAGTCATAATAAATTGATAAGTATGAGTTAGATTACAATTATGATCATTATTCATTACTAGTACTACTATTATTAGTGTTGGTTTTATTTTCGCTATTTAAAACCTGTTATTATTTTAAAAATCGGAAGATCGTGTACATTTTATTTTATTCCAGTTTCTTATTCATTTCATGGTTGAGTGAGGCATACGTTTTTGTCATAAACACTGCACCTCACGATTTGAACTTCACAAACTTTTGTTTCAAAATACATCACATGTTCCGCTATCAAAGTAGCTTTTTTGTAGTGAATAACATACTGTTCCAGTATAAAACTACTATGGATCTTCATCAAGTAATGGTTAAATAAATCAGAAAAAAAAGCGTACGTATTTGTTCCTTTATATCTTGGATTATTGTGTGAATGCTGAGAAATAGATCAGTTCATTGAAAAAATATTTTAAAGCGTTTTCTCGACCAGTTAACGCCGCAATAAATGGAACGGCGCGCCGTTCCATTTATTTACGTCGCGTCGTTATGTTTCAAAAGTGTTGATTTTTTTGCTATCTCCATAATTTGTGTATGGAGTTATTGCCATGGAAAATGATAGTGATGCCAGGAGTGATAATGAATCACTGAAATGACGTCGCCGTCTTCACGAATATCACAAAGATCATCATCGGAGGATGAACGGGTTGATCGGAGGAAAGCGGCTAAGAAACACACAATAGAGGAAATATTTGCCGCAAACGTGATTGAGATTTTGTATCAAATGCAGCCCACAATGAATAATATAATTATTTTACGATTGATCCTGTAAAATGACTTGAATGAGGCAGTATTAGTACAGTGCGGTATTATGTGCCCACATTTGACTTTGAAGTCGATGGCCTAAATTCAAGGAATTGCCTGAACGAAATCTAACAACTCGCATTCATTCATCACCCGGACGATGCCAAAAAATCATATGCCATGCAATAAAAGCTTTTAGGAATTGCCAAACGCTGGTATAATGGACGACGATGAGTTGTGGGAAGAGTGAAAAACTGGAATGTTAAGTTCCTTTCCATCTCATGAGAACTTCATCGACGATTTGAAGTTGATGTTGGCCAGAAAAGAACAGAAAACCAAAACGACGTTACACTTCTATTCCTCTAAATGTGTTTCAATGAGAAAATGTGATATAAGTTATCTGTGCAAACTGGACATCAGCCTATTCGAGCCACAAATACTTGAACAATCTACATGAAGTTCACTTATTTTATGTGGCGGGAAGTAACATCGCCAGAAACTGCTTCTTCCGGAATGCCAACGCCGAGTCATCTAGATTGTTGAGAAAAACTGAAGAACTGGACAATAGTTCTGGATGATGATTATATTGTGGATGTTAGCTTGAATTAATGTCAGTTGTGAAGGATATTTGGACAAAGGAAACAAAAAAAAAGTATCTTCCCAGAACCTATAAGCTCAAATAGAATCAAATGTTTGCTGATTCTTTCAAAAACATATGATTTTTTTGAGCATTATTCAATTCCATGTTGTTTTTTGTTCGAAACTAACAATTCAGCTTGAGTTATTGATAAAGACATCAGAAAAACTTGTTTGGCATGGAGGCGATTTTTTTTAGTCGGGTCAATAATTCGAGTCGGGTCAAAGTAAATATATGAGCTTAGGAAGAACTACATCCAAAAATTCGATGATATTTTGAGTACATTCGTGTACTTATACGTGTACGATATTTTCTTGAGAGCATTCCCTTATTAAATTTGTGATGATATTGCCTATCAGAATATGCTTTCATCGAAATGAAAATTATGAGGACGTATCATAATCATCATTATTATCATTATTTTATTTCTTTGTTTCAGATATTAGTTTGGCACACACAAACAAAGAAAAATGAACCGTCATTGCCTCTGGATATGGCTAAACATAATGCTACTAATCTTGTTATGTTGAAAAAAATCTTGGTGTAGGTAGTTAGCAAATTGATTTTTGAAAATGTGCGAGAAGCATTGATTCCAAAAAGTATTTTGAAATTGTTTCAAAGAACAAGTGGATCCTTTTGAAGCAGAAATGTACATAATATTTTTTCTACAAAAATAAAGGTTTTTTTTGTTAGGTGGATGTTGATGCAGTTCCATATTTAATTTCAGTAAGACATATTTCTCCAGTGAAAAATGATTATGTGTTGTTTTTGTTATGATTAGGATTAAGAAATTGAAAACATGAATGTGATACTCGTTATATCAATGCAATTTCATATTCACTGTAACCATATCCCATTTTATTTGTTTTTCGAAAATTTCATATCAGCGGAAGCTACTGGAGTGGAAATGTGGGAGTGCCAGATGACAGATCCGGTCATGAGTTCTCTCTTAGGTCCCAATCTGCCTACTCCTCAGATTCAACTGAGGGGATGGGTATTCATTGGCATTCATATCAGCGGAAGCTACTGGAGTGGAAATGTGGGGGCGGGGCTTTGGGTGAGTACCATCACCGGACGTCTTGGTGGGTGATCAGCATCGGGAAATTCAAGGTTTCCAGGCAGTTGGAAGTCTCTGACTGTCATCACGTTTGTTCAGGTAAAAAGGTCGCTTTTCGATTTCGATGGCTTCGCGAATTATCCGAGCTTGAAATGTTTTCGCTGTGGCGATGGTCTTAGTGTTCGTGAAGTCAACTCTACTTGTCATAAGTGGTTATAACGCCCTCTTATGGCCGCGTTCTATCGATGAGTATAGGCTGAGACCGCATATGCTGGCTTATCTTTGTGTTGCCGCAGGAGTGAAGTGATCTCTGCAGCTTTCATACGGGCCTTTTGCTGAGCGGTTTGCCACTCGGTGACAAAGTTGTGATCACCTCGTTCAGAAAATACTCATTATTATTATCACCTCAATGATATCAAAATCCAGAAATCCGTTTGTGACAGAAATTGTCAAGAAGATTATGCTTCTCAAAGAGAGAGCCTTGGCAAAATATGAATAAACAAAATCTGACAATTATTTTCAATACTATTGAACTATAGAGAACTGATAAATGTTGTCAATGAAGCGGTAAAGTATGAATTGAAGATATATTCCACTCATCAATTCGGCACATCAAATAAACAGCAATTCTAACATGTTCTGAAAGTGATATTATTTCTCAAAAAAGTCATAAACTCTCTGAATGACAGAATCACTAAGAATTTCAATGGAATAGATGATTTCTCTATCAACTTCGTGTCCCACGAAAAAGTCCCCACGTGAACTGCTTTATGAATCGTTATGTAATATCAGAAATGCGAAAGGCTATATCGAATTGAACCCAAGTCTAATTCAAATTTGTTGGCCTTATATTATTGAATATTCAACACATATAATCACTTTCTGCTTGACAAATGGGATGTTCTCTGATTGCTGGAAAATTGCATTAGTACGGATATTACTTAAAAGATCTGAACCAGTTGAATATAAAGATCTCCAAGCTATTAGAATTATTCTCCCAGCCCTTTTGAAAATTTCAAAGAGCAATTGACGTCCAACTTGAAGCTCATACTGATAATTGCTCGAAATACAATCAGGTTTCTGAAAAGAATGTAGTTGTACCACTGCCTTCTTCCATATTGACATAATCGTATCGAGAGATCCAGTCATGTGTACAGTTTTGGCTCTCTAAGAAGCAGTTAAGCAGTTGAGTTGTTTGAATCATATTCACAATGACGAAAACAAAAGGTGCGAATCAACAATGTCAGTTCAACAACTTTCAAATTTCAAATAAGGTGTTCCCGAAGGCTCAATATTGGAACCAATTTTTTTCCTCAACAATTCTGAAATCTCTTGAACATTGATCTGCTATTTGCTATACCGATGATACCCACATTTATTTCAGTTTCGATCCAGCGAATGTGTAAACGGACTGTAATGTTAACAATGTAGATCCTGATAACTACTTACAAAAGGCCTCGGAGCACTATCTTCAAATAAATCTTTGTGAATCAAATGTCATGATATTTGGTCCAAAATCAAAATTATTGATTATGGTTACCAGTTAGCTCTTGTAAGTGAAAACCATGGTATCATTCGACTCTGAAGACATTATATGGAGCTAGACACTTTTTAATGACAGATACAGAACTGCTTCTTTGTGATTCGTTATTATTGTCTTTTTTTTTTAATTTTGCAGACTGCGTTCACGGTCCCAATATGCTTTGAAAGTCTTGTTTTAAAATACAAGAAGTTTGAAACTCTTGCTTGAGACTCGTATACAGTGTTCGTAAAAAACTAATTCCTGTCGTATGATTGTGTACAGAGAAGGGAAGAATATTTCATACTGCGTTTTATCCAATAAAGATCACTAAAAAACCTTGTACCTACACTGCTGAATCAAATTTTTTCAGATATTCATAATGTGATTATACGATTTAGGGGTTCATTAACCCCAACAGAATTCAAAACAGAATTTTGGAACGTTGTTTCTCTCACCTAATATGAATGACATACAACTCTTCAATTCCTGGATTGAAATATCTGTCATTAACCAGTTCCAAATCAAAATATACAAAATATCTCTTCGACCAATCGTAATCCTTCATTTTTTTCATGTGATGATTGTTGATGAAAATACCAAAATGCTGTTATCAGCAAATACAGTACATTCCATTCAAAACGAGCTACCCTGAATAACTTTCGGTACAATGAATTTCAGAAAAAATAAAAAAAAACACGTCAACAATAGTATACAGGGGGGCCCATTTTGACATATTCACATTTGATGTTACTTCCCCTATTGCACCCCCAGAGCATGTCACCATTTTTTTATTGGATTTCCCTATATTGTTTTGCATTTTCAGATGCTCCATGATGAACGAGCAGATTTCAACGAATTATAAATCATATGGTCTGAAGCTTATGGTTCAGGAGCTACAAATTATTTGAGTTGAAAACTAGCCATCCTGACTAACTTTTGAAACAATGATTTGTAGAAAAAATAAAAAAAAAACAGGTCAACAATTATACAGGAGGTTACATTTTGAAATATTCGTTGTAGAGACAAATATGAAAGCAATGAATTAGAAAAAGAGATTTTTTTGTAATTCTTTAATCAAAACCTGATGACCGGACAATGAGAAGAAAAAAATGTTCTATAGTAAATGTTCAAAAACGTTTGTACAATGGTACAAACGAGCTTCTATTGCCGCCCTTACATGGTTGAGAATCACGGGAGTTATTTCTCTGCAATGCCTCATGATGTTCTTTCTCAAATCTTCTAATGTTGTTGATTCTATCTCATACACTTTAGACTTCAAATGTCCTCATAGAAAGAAATCTACAGAAGTGAGATCCGAAGACCATTCTGTAGGACCTCTTCTGCCAATCCAGCGACCAGGAAAATGATTATCCAAAAACTGTCGCACTGGAGTTGCATGATGAGGAGGTACACCATACTGCTGGAAACTATTTCGTTTTCGAATGAATTCATGTCCCCCTCAATTGCCCTATTGATGCATGGTATTATTCGATTCCCTAAGATATCCAAATATTAATCACTAGTCAAAGTATCATCGATAAAAAAAGGTCCTATGATATGGTCACCTGAAATTCCTGTCCAAACATTCTGCTTTTTAGGTCGTTTGGTATAAACTTGACGGCATTGAGGATTCGTATCACTCCAATATCGACAATTTTGCCGATTCACCTCTCAATTCAAACTAAACGTACAGTCATCCGAAAAACCAATTTCATACAAGAAATTTTGATGCAAGTTGATCCGTTCAGTGAAACTTTCACAAAACTTGATACGTCTATCGAAATCTTCTTCGTTCAATTCCTGAACTAGTCTTATCTAATATGGATGAAATTCGTACTTATGAAGCATCCTGAAAACACTTGTACAACTGATTCCTGATTCTCGAGATAACTTAGTAAGAGATTGCGAATTTTCCATTAGTCCAACGTGCCCCAAAGTTGCAGTACAAATAGTGGCTCGTTTCAAATGGAATACACTGTATTTGACATATGTCGCTAATTTGACACGATTTTTTGTGACACCGGAATTTCAGATATATATTACTTTTGTCATACCGATTAATCTTCATATGATCCATGAGATCGATAGAAGACTCAGTCCAGAGTATCAAAGATAAATGATGCTTTCAAAGGCGTTTAGTGGCAAATCGATGTTTCAAAATCGACCGGTACACAAAATTTTTCATCTATCTTTCTCAGCAATTTTCACTGCAAAACAACTTGTCGAAATCAGAGCACAATAATGAAACATTCGTGACCCATTTCCAGACAGGGCTGTTTCGAGTAGCTATAGGCTCTATCAGTGATGCCAGTCTGAATTACGAATGCGTGGAAACTAGACAATAATAGACAGAGAGGTAATTTATTTCTACTGTAGATTTTGAAGATCTAACTTCCTTTGGAAGCTTCGATTTTCATTATTGAGTCGTCTGTCAATCCTTATAGATGAAGTTTTCGTTAGAAGACATGTCGTCGTTTTTTTCTCTAGTGTTGAATAACGGATGCTTTGTATTTTGACTCTGATTTCGAAATAAAGTTGAATCATTGCCGGGCCTATCTATCACACGGTGAAAGGTAAGACCTCGTTAATACTTAGCTTAGCTGGAGGCGATCATAAAATGATATCATTAGTTACTACATATGCCGGAATTGTTGAAAAAAAATCTTTACATAATTCGAATTTCTATAACTGGTAGATTCATTCAAATTTTCAAGTACGTTGAAGTAATTCTTATGCATGAAAGACATGATCGATGATTTTAGGCCAATCTCTATATCCTTTTATAAACTCTGGAAAAGTTGAGCAATTCATTCATGAACAATTGACTCGATTATGGTTGAACTTAATTTACTGACTACTGGTATACCAGTGTAGTATTGACAAGAAAGATGGCAGTGCCTATAACTTACCTTTTTGGAACTTTATAAAAGTGCTAGAGGCAGTAGGAAGACATAAATATTCTATCTGGAAATCATTCTCTCCTATTCTGGAGAGAAAATTCTATGAGCCTTTAAATTTATGAATGAACAAAACAATAGCGCTCAAGGAACAATGAAAAAATGAATTCCAGCCAAATGTAAATGACTATGGAGACTTGAGAATGCAAATGTAATACTACT